ACACACACACACACACACACACACACACACACACACACACACACACACACACACAAAACCAACAAACTCGACGTTCTGATATTTTAACAATGGTTTTCTATATTAGGTAAGGAACGAGCTGGTAAGGATGCAGTGATACTTAACTTTTGTAAGGTTTTTTCTTTTTTTTTAATGGGAAAGGACAAATGTGGGGGCGGAATTACAATATTCTTATTAATCAAGCTTATTCTGCAGGAAAGGATCACGAAGAAGACGACAAAATTCCGGCTAATAAATGGTCATCAGCGAAGAAGGTGTTACCCGTCTTACCCACATGTAATAAGTTTCGGGGTCTAAACCTTTTAACTGAAACCGATGAAGACCCAGAGGACGAAGAATCTTATACAATACGCAGTCAACAGAATAACTCAATTGGTTAGTATTTACATATTATTTTACTGATAAAGGAAAACCTATTATGAAAGTGTCCATTGTCATTATAATGCACAGTGTCAAAGATGTTGCACTGATAATAAGAAAACATGTACAAGTGAAAACACATCATTGGTGAATAAGTAACATTGACAATATTCAGGGTATGTGGTGTTTTTCATGCGAGTAATCAAGTGAAATAAATGAAAATAGTTTATAGTTATAAAATGGAGTACATATTTCAAAATGATTTAATTTATTATAATTTAAAATTACTTATTACTTTCATACGTTATATAAATCAACGACAAGAGTTTCTGTTAAAGTAATAAAGTAACGATGTTTCTGTTCTTAAATAACTAAGACAACATTCTATTGGATCACTTGCTGTATGGAGGAAAACAAATGGAACAGATTAATCACCAATATAAGTCGAAAAACAAGCACTTCGTTTTATTACCGTCCAATGAAATGTTTTCTACGTTGGTTTATCAACTTGAATTAATTCTGTATTTTACTTCTAAACAAAAAAGAAACCAGTAAGAGATTTGTTGTGTCCACCTGTTTGTTTTGAATGGCTCTATTTGAATCTATTTGATTGCAAAGGATTAGGTTTGAACAAAGTTTCTTTCAGAAATGAAAGATACATCTATCTATCTATCCAAATAAGATTGGTTGGAAAATAGAATAAAATATCCCATATTCTGTTATTGGATTGTTAAAGATACTTAAAGAATATTTTAATTCAATATTTTCATTTAAAGATAAAGAAAGAAAGGTAATATACGAAAAACAATGATAGATTCCCGTTGTTAATGAGCTTTAAATGTGAACTTTTCTACCCATATCTACTAGGATTAAGTCATAAAGTTATACGTACGATATATATTTTTAAATTTTATGAATTAAGTGTTGCACATAAACAAATTCAGATTTTATTTACAAGCTTGATTAAAAGATCTGGAACAAATTAAATAAATTACTTTTCTTTCAGAAACAAGAATTAAAAGACACGTGAAGTATTCTCTGGCGCGGGATGAAAACTATTCGGACTCTCCAGATCACCAACTTAATGATCCTAGCAAGTAAGTATAAGAAAACTTTGTGCTATTTGCACATGGAATATCATCATGTAAAAATAGTTATCGTAAAATTATGAGATGTAGAAAATGATTGGTATAATGTTTAATAAATATGAATTGCAATGGGAAAAAATGATATGAACTCTGTGGTAATGAGTTCCTAAGGTAATGAGAATACCCCCCCCCCCTCCCCCCCCCGGATTTTTTTTTTTTTTTTTATAAAAATTTGGGAAAATAAAAAAAAAAAAAAAAA